ACACGGGGGTGGGGGGGTGGGGGGGGCATTTTGGCTAGAAAAATAAAATAAAGCATCTAAAAGTGACTTCAAGTCCTTTGGGAGAAGCTGCTGACGTGGAGTGCCCGGATCAGAAGGCACGGAGACCCAAGGCCCTCAAGGGCGTCCCCAGAAGACGCTGGTGATCCGTCGGGAGCGGCAACCACAGATCTGAAAACACCATCTGAAAACACCGACGCTGAAGGCAAAGGCCCAGCCCTGTGGGCGATTTCCTTGGAAGGAGCCAGTAGAAATGGGGCGATTTCAAAGGGACCAGAGCAGATGCCCCAAGAGCAGGAAGAAGGGAACCTGGCTCTTTCGAACGGCATATCCCAACGCTGGGACCCGTCCGAGGGTGTGGGAACACGGGGACTTGTGCCGGGTGTGGCCGTGCCTGGCAGACAGGGTGCACTGGCAGCCAGGTGTGGCCTTCCTGTTCCGTCCTGGAGTCTTCATGCCCTCGGCCAAGGAAGCAGCACGTGACGCAGAGGGACAGCGCCCTGGTCTCCTGTCCCCGATTGACCGCTGCCGGGGCTGTTAGAGCCTGGTGACCTCCCGGCACTGCTGCAAGTCCCCGATGCTCTCGTAGTCGTTCTCCTTTGGGAAGGGGCCGCGCAGGCCGCTGGGCTCCAGGGTGGCCTTCTCGTCCTCTCTGCTCAGAGCCTGGATGGCCTCGTAGTCGGGCTCGGGCTCCCGGGGCCTCGCTGCCGGGGCCAGTGTGCCCGCACTGCTGGGAGGCTGCTCGAAGTCTTTGACGGTCGCGTAGAGGTCATTGCAGGATGACAGGGACCTCCGGGCAGCTCCCGGGCTGCAGGTGTCGCTGGACTCGGGCACTTTGAGCGACTGCCCAGGTTTATTGACAGATGAGTACATGGCTGAGATCTAGAAGACAGGGGGTGAGTCAAATAGAAACCCTTCAAGCTGGACCGCCCCTCCCCCCTTTAGTGACAAACTGGAGACTGAGCACCCAGGGTGTGTGCCCCTTTAAGAACCGGTGTGGAGAGCCCGGATCATATTCCCACCCCCAGCTCATTGAGACAGAACCGACCTGCAGCGTGTGTCAGGTTAAGGGACACGACACGACGATCTGATACACATGTACGTTGTGAAAGGACTGCCACAGTAAGGTCAGGGAATGCCTCCATTACTGTGCCCCCATTTTTGGGTGTGGTGGCAACACTTAAGCTTGATTCTCTGAACAATTCTGAGCACAGAGCACAACCGTAGGGCTGCCTCTAGTCCCATGCTGGGCGCGAGCCCCCCAGCACCTGTTCATCTTGTAGTCGGAAGTGTATACCCTTTGACCAACATCTCCCCACCCCCATCTCTCCAGCCCCTGGCCACCACCAGTCTACTCTATCTCTATGAGGTCAGCTTTTTCAGATGCCACATTTATTTGAGAACATAAACTGTTTGTCTTTCCCTGTCTGGTAACTTCAGTTGGCAGATGGCCTCAAGGTCACAACTGGCAGGACTTCCTTCTTTTATGGCTGAATAGTATCCACTGTGTCTGTCCACTTGGATATTCCGCACAGACACCTGACATGTATGTGAGATCACATTTTCTTGTCCATTCGTCCGTAGATCGACACTGAGTTGCTCCCAGGTCTCGGCTGTGTGACCAGCGCTGCGTCACGTGGGGTATAGGCGCCTCCTGAGGCAGTGACTTCACTTCCTTCAGATAAATGTCCAGAAGTGGGTTCTTCAGTGCCTGGAATGCATTGCTAGAGAACAATTACACAGACTATCTTCAGGCAGACGGGCCGTGTCGGCACAAGCCCACGAAGACCCGGCTCTCTCAGCCTGCGGCGGGCAGGAGGGGGCGCGGCAGCCCAAGGCCCCGAGGGACGCAGTCTTTCTACATCGGAAGCCTCTCTATCTCATCTGACAAGGGGCTCCACTGCTTTACAAAATCGGCAGGAAGCATGTATGAGACGAGTGATTCTCACACTGTGGGCACTGAACCAGCAGGATCCAGAAATTTACAAGAAAGGCAACTTCCGCCCCCAGAACCACTGAGGCAGAAACCTGGGGCTGGCCGGCCTGTCGCCCAGAGTGTGAGAGCCAGGAAGTGGGCCTGGACCGCCTGTCCCGCACAGCGCGGCCGGAGGCGGGTCCTGGGCTCTGCTGGTCAGCGCACACACGCGTTTGTAAGAGTCTGGCCCATTGCTTTTGGTTTCACCAGGTGCTGCTGGTTCAGCAAACACGCACAGAAACTTCGGTGGGAAACGCATTCTCATTTCCAACCAGCTAACTGAGAAGCGGAGTTGGAGGTAATCAGAGATGGGAAGACTTTCCTGTGCGAGGATCGGGCTGTCTTCCAAGCTACTCAGCGTCCCTAACGTACCCACAGAGGCTCCAACAGTGAGAGCGACTTAGTTTGCCTTGGTGATGGGAGAGCAGGTGTACAGATTAGGAGACGGTCTGGGCTGTTATTTTATTGTTAGAAATTGTGGTTGGAAATAAGTAAACGTTTCCTTCCTTGGCCCCGTGACTGATTTATAAAACACCCAGGAATAACGAACATGTGTCCTGATTCCTGACAGACGCTCGGCCTGCGCGTGCGGA